TACCACCCAAATACAATATATGGATTCATGTAACTCTTACTTTGAATAACTTAAATATTTTTGAGACAATCAGGGAAATTTTAATATAGACTGGGTATTGGAGGATATTGGGAAATTGTTGCTAATATTTTTAGGTATAAAAATTGGTATTGTGATAATGTTAAAAAAAATTCATTAAAATATTTACCAGGAAAATGATTTATAGGTATTCTTTAAAATATTTCAGCTTATTAAAGAAGTGGAAAAGGCAGATTAAACAAGACTGGCAAAATACCATTGATTGCTGAGGCAAGCTGCACATTAGTTTTCATTACTATTCTCTATGTATGTTTTAAAATTTCCATGATAAGCATGACTTTAAATTTTTTTAAAATAAGGTTTCTAGTGATATAAGATAAAATTTGTGCTTCACTGAAAAAGTATGAATTGAGTAGACTCAAGCATATCAAACTCACGGCCTGCAGGCCACATGTGGCCCACAACGAATATTTTTGCGGCTCCGCCAATATAACAGTATGTAAGAAAAGTTTTAATAAAAATTTTGTTACTTAATTTTCATAATATCCTGTTATACATAATTATTAATAATGAACTACAATGTTCGCTAATGACTGATTACTATAATCATGTTGCATTCATTTCCCTTACACGCCTTACACGCAGGCGCACCATTTCTCTCCACTGATACTAGCAGCGAATATTTTAGCAGCCGATTGCCTCGTCGTCATTAGTCTTGTACTGACTTGTTTGGTGTGCGCAACAGGAAATATTTCGCTTTCGAGAACAAGAAAAATAGGTTTATTTGCGTTACACTTATTAATTTGTGCAGTTATTCAGTGTCTGGTAAGTTAATGTTCAAGAAAAAATATTAATGTTTATTAAAATGTTCTATTATTTTATGTTAACGATGACTCATTTATTTCAGCCCTTTGAATTCAGCATGTCTCTATAAAAATAAACCTACGTTTCTATGAAAATTGAAGCTTTTGTTTTTTTGCGGCCACAGAAACTTCAACCTTGTTCATTTGGCCCGTATTAGATTTTGAGTTTGACATGCTTGCTCCAGACGATACTCTGGATTATCTAGTTCTGATTCTATCTAGGCTATTTCACAAGTCTGTAAATTGTAGGTGATTGAAAGCAATGGCAAATAATTCTTGTCTAAGAGCATGCAAAATTTGTCCTACCTGGTGGAGTTTCAACTGACCTCCCTCTCTCCCTCCAGCGGTTACTTTTGCCACCATTTGCACATTTATTTCAACATCCTTTATTCCATAGAAATGTGTGCTGTTTTGATTTCTTCTTTGACTCTCTTATGACATCTTTCTGGTTCGTTGCTTATAAGTGAAATAAAGTCTTTAACACATGTTCATTTTGATATCTACATGAGTCCTAATTTTACCCCATTTTAAAAGTTATCTCTTAACAATAATAAATAGTATTTACATCTTTCTTGTGAAGCTGAAAGTAAACTAATTGTTATACCTATAAATGTATTACCTGCTAATGATTAATTGTTAAACAACTTCAGCATAAATTGTAGGTTAGTTGTGCAAATATGAACTAACTTTTCCTCCCATCTATGTTTTTGTTTCTTCATACCATTAGTTCCAGAAGCCCCTTTGGAATCTTTGCAGTAGAGGCCTGGAAGCATTTGCAGTGAGCATGAGAGATCACCAGCATAAAACACGAGCATAGCGACATTGAAAACACTTCAAAACAAAAATTGAGTAACATCTTCTGAAAACTTGTGCCAGGAATTCTAAAAATGTTATATATGTAGATTCAAGGTAGATTGTTGAAACACACAAGCATGGTCTTCAGTATTTCACAAAACGTGACGCACTCTTTTCTTCCATGCCACTAACTGCAGACATTGGAATGGCTTCACTTCACATTTTTGTTACAGATATCCTGCCACCTCCTGTGAATTTAGAAGCCGTCTCTCATGGCCCTCTGGGCTCCATCTTGGTTTCATTTTCATCCAGTTCAATGGCAATGAACTCAACCAATAAGTAAACATTCTTTCGTGTTTATAAGTTTCACAAATGCAGACATACATATAGCTCACTATCCACATATAGCTCACTTCCATAAAAGGATACCATAACCGATATTATAGCTATGTCAATGATCTCTCACTAAACTTTCTGTCCAATTTCAAAAAAATCAGATGCCAATTGTTAAGGACAAGTAGAAGAATATGTTGAAAATCAAATTGAAAGAGAAGAAAATATGCTACCTGTGATTTATCTTTCTCCAACTGGCTTATTTTGCTTAGCATAATGCTCTCCATGTCCATCCATGCTGTTGCAAATGGTAAGGGTTCTTTCTTTTTTATAGCAGCATAGTATTCCATTGTGTAAATGTACCACAGTTTTTTAATCCACTCATCTGCTGATGGGCACTTAGGCTATTTCCAAATCTTAGCTATTGTAAATTGTGCTGCTATGAACATAGGGGTGCATATGTCCTTTCTGATTGGTGTTTCTGATTTTATGATCTCACTCATTTTTGGAATATAATGAACAACATAAACTGATGAACAAAAATAGGTCCAGAGACAGAGAGAAGGTGGAGGGGGGGGGGGTGGGAGGGAAGAAATCAACCAAAGGACTTGTATGCATGCATATAAGCATAACCAATGGACACAGACACTAGGCGGGTGAGGGCATGTGCTGGGGGGTGGGGGTGGCTGGGGAGAGATCAATGGGGGAAAAAGGAGACATGTAATACTATATGTAATACTTTAAACAATAAAGACTTAAAAACTGAAAAAAACCATTTTAAAATAAATGTTATTTCAACTTAAAAAAACTATTAAAAAGGGAAATATGCTGCATGTACACTCACTTGTTAATTTACTTTTAAACACTTTAAACTACTAGAGAAGACTGGCTTCCCTTATACCAAGTAAGGCTTTCTATGGTCTATTCCTTTTGACTGGCACTTTCTTCCTGCTCTCAGCCCCCCTCTCTTTCACCTGGTGAACGTTCCCAATGCGCCCCCTCAGGCCAAGCAAATGTCTTCCCTCAGTGAAGCCTTCCAGATGCCTGAAGCAGAATCAGGTAGCCTTCCTCTGTGCTCTCTCAGCGCTCTCTCCATACCTCCTTCAGAACAGTTTTACCCCAAAAGCTTCCCAACTCACTCCAAGTAAAGACCGAAGCTCTATCCCTCACTTGCAATAGCTTTCTCATTGGATTCCGATTATGTTTTCTACTGGCTTCCCAGCTCCCTCGGAATGGAAGTCAAAGCCTGCAGCCCTGATATCCCTGGGCCAGCTTCCTCACCTCCTTCTGGTGTTTATTCAGTCCTCACCGCACGTGCTATCCTCCTGTCTTGCTACATTCCTCCATTTCACTTATCGATAGCTCTCATACCATATCTTCATTATTTACTTGTTTATTTTCTATCTCCCTCTACAAGAATGGAAACTCCCTGAAGCTTGGGGCTTTTGTCTGTTTTGTTCGCAGGTGTACCCTCAGTACCTGGAACAAGGTCTGGACACGGTAGTCGCTCAGTAAATACTGTTTTAATGAATGAAATGGCAGCCTCTCTCACCACCCTCTGAGTTTCTCAAAGGCAAAAATTTGGTTTTGTTTGGGCAAGTCTAGCATGTTCCTGTCACATAATATATATTCAATAGAAATTAGTCTCATGGATTCCCTCTTGGGGAGACAGGCCAATTCTAGGATAGTTGCAATAGATAGATCAAGAAATGGCCAATTTGACAACCTTTTTGGTTTGTACATCATTGCGTTGCTTCATCTTAGATAAGAACATTGGACTTGTCTATAGCGAGACTGGAAATGGGGGTGAAGTCCAACAGCGGAAGTATATGGTGTCCAAAAAATTTTTGGCACTTGCTAGTCATTTATACAGGGGTAGGCAAAAGTAGGTTTACAGTTGTAATACAAATAAAAAGCACGATAATTAATAAATAATAATACAAGAATAAACTGTTTCGAGTGCTCACAACTGGAAACCTATTTTTGCCCACCCTTGTCTGTATAGGTAACTAACAGGGTGAAGGCCAAGAGCTGAGAAGACTTGCCTGGATTTGGAGGAAGGGGCGAGGGGGCATTTCGCTCTCCCAAATCTTGCAGTACCCTCCCCAGCCCCACCACGAGTCACATTTATTGCAAATCCGGGACTACGAGGGGGCATTTCACTCTCCCAAATCTCGCAGTCCCCTCCCCAGCCGAAGCAGACTTAAGCATGTTAGCTAAAGTATAGTTTTGGGTCTCCAGATCACTGAGTTGACAGAAACACATTATCTAGAGCCCTCGGGTCTTGGGATAATTGTGCTGTCCTGGTTCCCAGGTACAGAATGTGCTTTCTAAAACCAGTATGACCACAACCAATGGGGTATTCACATTACAATCAATAAGGTATTCAATCGAATGGGATGATTTATATAATTCAGAAAATCAAAATAACTTTTCTATTGTTAAACAAAGCAAATAAGTACAGAAGCCAAACAGCAGGGTTAAAGTTAAACAATAGTTTCTACCTGAGATGATTGCTACCATACTTCACTGGGTCTGTGAGGGTGGCATCCTTACAGTCTGAGGCTGGGAGTCAGCTTGGAGCCTTAATGGCAGGAGGGCTCAGTAGTGAGTCTGCCACAGCGCACCAAATGGTTGTAAGGGGGAAGGGAAACAGAGAGAGGGAGAGAGGGAGGTAAAGAAAGCTCCCGATCAGATTTATTTGAAACATCCCAATTAATGTAGGCAAACCAACTTTTTGACATCTTCCGTTGGCACTGACCACCGGTGACTTACCTCAGCTGACAGTTGGATTGACTATGGTCAGCACCAGTGGGGACACCACGTGGTTTCCTTTGGGGAGGCAGCGCGGGGCCGTCCTGGGCCCACTGGGCGGGAGGGTGGGAGTGCGCTGGGCAGAGGCCGCCGGAGGAGGGGCCGGAGGGTGGCGCCCAGTCCAGGCTTTTCCCGGTCTCCGGGGCCACCCCGGCGGCGGCAGCAGAGGAGGCGGGCATGGCAGAGGCGCGGCCGGGGGCGCCGACGGGGCTGCAGCTGAGCGCGCTGCCCGACCACTCGCCGCTGCTGCAGCCGAGCCTGGCCGAGCTGCGGCGCCGGGCGCGGGCGCTGGGCGCTCTCCCCGCGCCGCCGCCGCCCACCGACCCCTTTTCTGCTGCGCTTCCTGCGCGCCCGGGACTTCGACCTCGACCTAGCCTGGCGGGTAAGGGTGCCTCCCCGCTGCGCCCTAGCCTGAGGGCAGGCCTGGGTGCCCCGGGGCGGGGGGGTATGCTGCCCTGATCCCCGCGAAAGCCGAGGTTGGGAGCGGGACCTCGGTGGGAGCGCGCCCCGGGCGCACTGGGCCGCGGGCGCGGTGGCCGCTGGTGTCTGAGAAACCCAGCTCCGGCCCTTTCAGTTTCTCTGGGTCTTGGAAACGGAAAATCCAGACAAAGCTGGAGCCCTTCCCCCGGGATGGCCCATTTGACCCCAAACACGGGAACTCTGTCCTTGATGAGTCTCCTGAACGTCAAGTTGGGGGGAAATGCTTTCCCTTTTCCCTGGCAGAAAGTTACGGATAGAAAACAAAATACAGCCGAGAGGGAGGAAGCCGAGATTTTATTACAGCTCAGAAAGTAACTCCACATGTGGAGGGGAGAATGAAATTGCGAGGAAGACAGAAGGTCTACAGCCAAATTCTAGCGAAGTAGTCTGATTGATAGATAGTAATCTGTGTCAGGACGCTAACGCAGCCCAGTATGTTTTGAGTTTAAGAATGACGGATGAGCTGGGAGCCCGGAGGTGTGGGTCAGTGGTGGAGCGTGGACCTATGAACCAGAAGGTCGTGGTTCTATTGCCCGGGTTGCGGGTTCCACCCCGTGTGTGTGTGTGTGTGTGTGTGTGTGTGTGTGTGTACACAAGAGCAGCCGAAAGATGATTCTCTCTCATCATTGATGTTTTTCTCTCTCCTCCTCTCTGAAATAAATAAAATAAAAGAGAATGAGGGATGAGGCTGTTCTTTTGTGTTTCCAGGTGTGTATCCCCAATGCTTAGTTTGCCAAGCCATCTACCCAGAGACAGTTAACTTACCTGTGTCTTGTTTCTCTTCCCAGGTAGTGTACTTTCACACAGGCATATGAATATATTTTACATTTTGCCCTTTTTAAAAACCTAATTTCTCAGAGATCATTATATCCCAGCATGTATACATAAATCTTATTCTTTTGTAAAAAAAAAATATGTTTTTATTGATTTTAGAGAGGGGGGGGAGAATCTATATTGATGTGAGAGAGAAACATGGATAGGCTGCCTCCTGCACGCCCTCTACTGGGGTTTACTAGTAAGCCCACAACCCAGGCCTGTGCTCTGACTGGGAATGGAACCAGCAACTTTTTGGTGCATGGGACAATGCTCAACCACCTGAGCCATACCAGCCAGGGCCATGTCTCTTATTCTTTTGTGGATTTTTGCTGTTCACTGCGTGAATATATTATGCTGACTTATGGAGCAGTCCCTGTTGTTGGGCGTGGACTTGTCATCAGACAAGGGCACTGCTGCCATGCACACCCTTCATTCCCCATTCAATGATTATTTTTTGAACTCCTACAATTTACCTGGCAGTATACAAAATGCAGTAAGCAAGACCAATGGGGTGTCTTCCATCAACAACTGGATATTCTAGTCTGTCTTTGTACATTTGTCTTGGTGCCAAAAGAGGAATACGTCCTTATAGGACAAGTTCAACCTGCAGAATTGCCCAATGGAGTGAGATGTGTATCTTCAGTGTTGAGGAATCTAACAACTGTCCTCCAAAGTGCTGGCACTAATTTTGTCAATTCCGTATTGCATAATGATGCTTTTCTCTGCCTAGCATCACCCACGCGGTCTTAGCCAACACTATGAACTGTGTATCAACCTGCTAGGTGAGAAACTGGTTCTCATTATCATACTATGCATGTATTCAATTACAAGTGGTTAATCATCTTTCATATATTTAACATTTTAAAATTCTTTTCTCAGTAACTGTTTGTTTTGCCATTTATTTTCTTCCATTTGTTTACATAAAATATAACATACATACAATATAAATGTATTCATAAAATATCTTTATGTATTAAAGTAAATAGGCCGCTGTCCCAGTTCATTGTTTGTCTTCTGACTTTGGTAATGCTATTTTCTTTCTGTGCAGAATTTGAAGTTTTTATGAAACAAATGTGATTGTTCCTGATTGCTTCTGGGTTTCATAAGCTCTTCTTTTTCCCCAAAGTTTTCTTTTTTTTTAATCTTATTGATTTTTTTTACAGAGAGGAAGGGCAAGGGATAGAGAGTTAGAAACATCAATGAGAGAGAAACATCAATCAGCTGCCTCCTGCACACCCCCTATTGGGGATGTGCCCGCAACCAAGGTACATGCCCTTGACCAGAATCGAACCTGGGACCTTTCAGTCCCCCGGCCGATGCTCTATCCACTGAGCCAAACCGGTTAGGGCCCCAAAGTTTTCTTTAGTAACTTATAACTTCTCTTTTTGATGTTGGAGTTGTTGTTCTACTAGGATTTCTTTGATGTTAGGAAAGATCTAGGAATCTGACTTTGTTTTCATTTTGTCAGATGGCTACCCAGCTGTCCCAACATCATGAGTAACAAATTTACTCATATTGCTAAATAAGAAGACACAGCCTGAGGTCCTAGGGAGAGTGCAGTTTAAGTGAGGCATTAAACATATATATGTTGTAGAGTAACTAACCATAAAAAGTGTATGATTTGTTGATTTCATTTTGTTTGCTTTTTAAAAGTAATGTGTATAGATACAGACAACAGAAGGGTGATTACTAGAGGGGAACGAGTGTGTGTGTGTGGAGTGGGGGAAAGAAGGGGGTAGACCGAAGAGGGTAAAGGGGTCAAATATACGGGGACAGAGGGAGACTAGACTTTGGGTGGTGAGCACACAGTGCAGGTGATGTACAATCATAGAACTGTACACTTGAAACCTATTTAATGTTATTAACCAACGTCACCCCAATACATTTTATAAAGAAAAAAGAAAAAAACAACAGAACAGAAAAAATAACATTTACCTCTAGCCTTAGTGTTATTTACATACTTTCCTGTGTTCTCTATGTTCCTGGATTGTTTTCATTGCACCATATCCTTGAGGAATTTGCTACCAAGACTGTGTCTGAATCTACTGAAGTGGGATCAAGTTACTGTCTGTGAACTCTTTGCCTTACTTTTCTGCCAACTGGAAATGAAGGGGAAAAGTTTAGAGCATGAGACTATTTATTTCCTTTACAAAGACAGTCAATTCAACTCAAACTTCCTTATGTATAATATAAAAGCCCTATAGTTGTTTGTGTGTGTGTGTGTGTATGTGTGTGTGTTTTGTATGAAGAAAGCTCACTAAGTCCCTCAGTTATAATGAATTTTCTCATTTTTCTAGTTTTTGTACTTGAAGTGATAATGAATTAATGGATTTGCTTTTAGAGTGTCAGGTCCTTTATAGGTAGTGTTTGTGAGGATTATGTAATCATTTTCTCATTTTAGAAGAAGCCGAGATGTAAAGAGTTAAGTGACTTGCCTGAAATCACAGTTATTAAATGGTAGAGCAAGAATTTGAAGTTGGGTTAAACTCAGGGGAGCCTGTGCTCTCAGGCACACTGCACCTGCCCTGTCTGTTTAAAACAATGAGCATAAAAATAGCCAACTCTTCACCTCTGTCTGTTCTACATATTCTTGTGAATTTCTCTTTCACAAGTGAATAGTCCAGTTCCATATATTTATGCTCCATGTGATAAGTTTTTTATCCTGTAGTTATTGTTATGGTTTTCCCAAAGACTTTTAAGTTTTCAAAGTACCATTGACTCTCCCTGCTAATTTCCCACTCAGTGTAGCTTCTTTTGTAGAATTTATCATATTGTGTCAGTTTCAATCCCAATTCTGCTCCTGTAGTTTTTGTCTTTAAGAACATGTGTAACTTCTTTTAGCTTTAGTCTTATTTATTTATTTATCCATTCATTTTTGAGAGAGAGAGAGAGAGAGAGAGAGAGAGAGAGAGAGAGAGAGAGAGAAAGAAACTGATTGGTTGCCTCCCATCCACCTCCTGACAGGGATAGAACCTGAGACTGGGGATGGAACCTGAAACCTAGGTATGTGCCCGGACTGGGAATGGACCTGTAATCTTTTTAGTGTATAGAACTACACTCCAAACAACTGAGCCACCTGGATGGGATTGAGTTTAAGTCTTTTTATCCATAAAATTAGGTAAACCTCTCAGGTTGGTTGTGAGGAGAGATCAAAATGATGCCGTTAAAGACTGTGAAAGCTGCACAAATATGGTCACTGTTTTGTTTGAAAGTACATGGAAATGTAAGAAGGAAGGTAAATAAACCCTAACTTTTTATATTTGTTTATTCCTAATTGTGGTGCAAAACAGGTGCCTTCCAATCATGATTTTCACTTGCACTCAATTTTGTTGTTGTTGTGAACTTTAGGTGGTTTGTTTGAGAATTGCTCAGTAGTATTTTGTCATGTACATAATTTCTTTATGTCAACTGGACCTTAGAACTTATTTCTCAGTGGAAAAGTAATAATCAGTGATCCAGGTTTAAATATTGCAGTTTGTGAAAGTTAAACGTCAAAGGCATGAGAGTTAATTGTGTGTCTTTACGAAAATCAATTTTTCAAGTGTGTGGATCCGGGTGGTTTACTCATACAGTAAAGTCGTCCCCCTTATGCTCGGGGGATACTTTCAAAGACCCCAGCGGATGCCTAAAACCGTGGATAGCACCAAACCTTAGATATAGTATATATTTTCCCTCTATATACATAACTATGATAAAGTGTAATTTATAAATTAGGCACAGTAAGAGATGAACAAAAATAACTAATAATAAAATGGAACAAGTATAACAATACACTGCCATTAAAGTTATGTGAATGGCTTTGGGGCCATTAATGAGTAAAATAAGGATTACTTGAACATAAGTCCCTGCCTCTGTTACCTGAAAGATCCCTTTCAATGAAATCACAGTGGAGGAGGAAAAGGAATTCATCTTATAGACTAGAATGAATATGTCAGGAACAATGTGCCTTTTGTCCCTACTGCTTTTGGAAACTGCTATTTAGGTCACCAATTATTTCTTGGTTGGCAAATTTACTGACTTTTTCCCTTTCTTACCTCTTTGTTGCATTTAACTCTTAGAAACATCCTCTTTCGTAAGGCAGTTAAGAAAAGTTTATTAAATATATAAATGGGTGACAATATGAGAGAGAGAGAGAGAGAGAGAGAGAGAGAGAGAGAGAGGGAGAGAGAGGGAGAGAGAGAGAGAGAACAACTCAGATGGCTTTTCCCTCCCCTGTGCACCATATCGGTGTTTCTCCTATAATCCAACCAGCTTCTCTCTTCCTCTTCCATCCATCCCCAGCCATTGGCATATCCCATGACTCAGAATTCTACCCTTTACTTGGTTTTTAAAATTTATATTTGTAGTCTCTCTTCTAGGCAATTACTACTTTGTAGTTACAGTTATGTTTATTCCAATGACTCTCAAATATAAAATGTGTCCTTTCATCTGAACTTTAGTACCACATTTCTAATAGATCTCTTTAAATTCAAATATATTGCCATCTTAGAAAAATTGAGACTGCTGAAAATCATGAAGAAAATGTAAATATAGTAAGTTTTAAATGTGTAATTTGATTTTAATATTCTCCACAATACACTGGCAATGTTTTTATTATTTGTAAATGTGGAGTAACCCTTACTGGTAGTTCTTTTGGGAAAAAGAAAATGGGATTCCTTCAAACCATATTTTATTAAGGCCTAATCTCCAGCCATACCATTCCATAGTCTCTCTGAATGCATACCACTATTAACAAAATCCATTTTTGTTGTTTTTCTATTTGTAGAAAGTAGAGCAGTGGTATAGATAGATGTTCCTTTGTATAATTTATTTAGCTCTTTTTGTAGGGAAGAAAATAAAAACCAAAACATTCTAGTTACCTTTAATGTAAACCTGCACTAAATAGTTATATGAGCCAATTAACCCAAATCACCTTCCCTATTATGACAATACTAACCGGTATTCATTATGCCCATGTATGCTTTACACATAACTCTAGAAGGCAGATATGGAGAAATAGTTATCAAGATCACATAGGTAATAAGTGGTGACACCAAGGCTTTTCTGAAGAGGCAGCCTGGGAACTGAACTTTTTACTGCATATAGCATGGCCTGTGTGTGCCAGTTGTCACCAATACGCCACCTCCAGTGAAATCAGGGATCTACTCTGGTCACTGCTTTAACTCAAGTGCCTAACACAGTGTGTGGAACATTGTACATATTCCAAACATATTTGTGGAGTTAATCCATTAGATTGATTTCCATTCTTTATTTCGAAAAGACCAAAGGTGGATGTGCTAGTCACCGATTGCCAAGTAACCAATCGCTCCAAAATTTAGTGGCTTAAACCACAGCTATTATTTGTTTGTGATTCCCCTATTTGGGCAGGGCTGAGTGGGGCTGTTCATCTCTGCTCCACATTGCATCAGATGGGACCTTGGCTGAGGTCAGACCATCTAAGTCATAGCCTCTCGTCCCCCAGGGCTTCTCTGCATGGACTTTCATTTCGTAATCTTACATGGTGTCTGGCTTCTTAAAACCTGGCACGGTGTCACTTCTGCCAAATCCTATCAGTCAAAGCAAGATGTAAAGCCAGCCTAGGTCCAAGGGGAAGGAATCAAATGGATTCCTTATCTTGATGACATGTGTGCATGGGTGTGTGTGTGTGTGGCCGGCGGGGGTGGGGGGTGGAGGGGGGGCATGGCCAGCATTTATCTTTGGGAGACTATCCATCACAGGAGCCAAATAAGAATTACTCAACTTTGAATTTTTGATGAACTCCTATCACCTGAGATCCTTGATGAAGGGAACTTTTAGTTTATATGCTAAAAGGATACCCTAGATTAAAATCCTGACATGATGGATGGCAAAGGCCATACATAATGCCAAGGCTTTCCTGCCAGTTTTACGAAATGCTTACCATGTGCACTATCTGTAGACAATTTCTATTTTGTTTTTCAGTTACTAAAAAACTATTATAAGTGGAGAGCAGAATGTCCTGAAATAAGTGCAGATCTCCACCCCAGAAGTATTCTTGGCCTTCTGAGGGCTGGCTACGTTGGAGTCCTGAGAGACAGAGACCCCACCGGCAGCAAAGTTCTCATTTACAGAATCGGTAAGTGAGACAAAGCACTGCTGTCTGCTTTTTCTTCACTGCCATACAGAAGGCTTCAATGAGTCCATGTTTAAGCATTTAAGTGTTTAGGTTTTAACTTAGGTGTATTTTATATTTTAACTAGAGGCCCGGTGAACAACATTTATATACTGGGTGGTGGTGGGGGGTCCCTCAGCACGGCCTGCGCCCCCTTGCAGTCCAGGACCCCTCGGGGGATGTCCGTCTGCCTGGCTTCTGGCTGAGCAGTGCCCCCCCTGTGGGAGCGCACTGACCACCAGGGGGCAGCTCCTGCATTGAGCGTCTGCCCCCTGGTAGTCAGTGCGCATCATAGCAACTGGTCGTTCTGCCGTTTGGTCGATTTGCATATTAGGGTTTTATTATATGGGATATCCCCTGAGTATAAAAAAAACTGGCTGTTGTGAGAAAATTAACAAAACCCAGTGAAAATCCTACTCCCATTTTTCCACAGTCAAATGTATAAAATAAGAGAAAAAGAAAACAGAGCAGAGAAATAGAGGGGAAGATGAAAAAGATCAAGGAAAAGTGCTGTAAAAACACTTAGCAGGAAATTCAAATAAGAGCGCTGAACTATGATAATGTTCTGGTCACTGATGTACACCAAGCACCGAGCCAGGTCACGTGGTAGGTGCTGATTAAATATTTTGGAGTGAGTGAATGGCTAGCTGGACAGAGCCCCGGCTGCCGAGCAAGGTGCTCATTGGCCTGGATGGAGAGAGGTGCTGTGGGAAAGCAGGAATGCGAGAGGTGCTGAAGACATGACTCTACATGTCCCTCCTGCTTTTCACTGCTTCCCCTTTTTGCCATTAGGTCTTCCTAGTATTTCTTGTAGGTTAGTGACCGATAACTTCTGCACCTCCCTTAGACCCGCATGGGATCAAAAATAGCCTTTAAGGGAGAAGGACACATACCACCTGCAGCCTGCTGTCATGGCCCAACATTTTATGTGTTTTTGTTTGTTTGTATTTATTTTATTTTTTAAAAAAATATATTTTATTGATTTTTTACAGAGAGGAGGGGAGAGGGATAGAGAGTTAGAAACATCGATGAGAGAGAAACATCGATCAGCTGCCTCCTGCACACCTCCTACTGGGGATGTGCCCACAACCAAGGTATATGCCCTTGACCGGAATCGAACGTGGGACCCTTCAGTCCACAGGCCGACGCTCTATCCACTGAGCCAAACCGGTTTTGGCTGTATTGATTTTAGAGAGAGAGGAAGGGAGAGGGAAGAGAGACAAACATTGATCAGTTGCTTCTCATACACATCAGGCCTGGGAATCAAACCTGAAACCTGGGTCTGTGCCCTGACTGGAATCAAACCTGAGACCTTTTGGTATAGAGACGATGCTCCAACCAGCTGAGCCACACTGGCCAGGTCATGGCCCAATATTTTATGAGCAGAATCTTATGAATTATAATCTTGTAGGAACTTTTACATCTTTAAATACTTTAGGGGACTTTAAAATATGTATAGATTTGTAGATAAGATGGCTGCCTGTAATTCAACTGTTTGCTTTCTTGCAAGAAGACCCTGCATTTAATTATTGAAAGGGTGTCAGAAAACTGAGTAGAATGATTCTGGGTTGTTTTTTTTCTCCAGCTTATCTGTCAAATATAGCTGGGTTAGTCATGAATTCATTGTCTATAAATCGGACACCTGTTTATAGACAATAATAGATAATTCTGTCTTATTGCTCCCATAGTGTTATGGGATGTTGAATGAAGTTCTTTGAATTCCTTGGGGCAGGGTTGCCAGATTTAGCATGGTACCCATGTTTTATCTAGCAAGTACACCTATATTTAATTTATCTGGCAATCCTGCCAGGGATTCCAAGAACCTAAAATCTATAGATGATCCATTCTGTTCTTCAAGTATCCTGGCTCTGCACTGCCTGCCTGGAGTTTTTTCTAGTTTGTTCATACACTAATGGGGCAAATTAAGTAGTGAAATGACACCTTAATAATGAAAAGGAAATACGCTACTTAAATCATAAATACCTTAGCCCTGAATCAAGTCTTTTATTGTTTAGCGAGGGCTTCTTGTAGTATATTCATTTACAAGTGTACTGTTTAACTCCAAGCAGGATTTTAAAACAAGAAGGACATGCAGGTTTACTGGTGGTCAGAACAGGGTGTGCAGCATATGTCCTGTGTGTGATGTAGAATAGCATGTTGTTCTAGGGCAGTGGTCAGCAAACTCATTAGTCAACAGAGCCAAATATCAACAGTACAACGATTGAAATTTCTTTTGAGAGCCACATTTTTTAAACTTAAACTATATAGGTAGGTACCTTGTTATTAACTTAATTAGGGTACTCCTAAGGCTTAGGAAGAGCCACACTCAAGGGGCCAAAGAGCCGCATGTGGCTTGCGAGCCGCAGTTTGCCGGTTCTAGGGGAAGGGGGCTAGTGCGGGAAAGAGGAGGACATCTGCAAGACTTTCAACAATAAAGATAAATTTTAAAAAAGAAAATGAAGATAAACTACAGATTTATAAATTTTCTAATTTTAATTGAACGAATGGGAAGAACTAAAAAAGAAATATATCTTGGAGCTCTTTGATAGAACATTAGCTTAACCACCTTCCTAGGTACCGCCTCTACGCAGTAAAAGCAGTGAAAAGTGCACAGAGCCTTTCCCTGGTCTGGCAGGGCACCCAAACCTACGTTTTTGCCGTTATTTGCATCCAAGCCAGCAGATATACAGTTGACCTCCAAACAACATGGATTTCATCTATATGGGGCCACTTATACACAGATTTATTTCAATAAATATGAGCAGCACTGTAAATGTGTTTTCTCTTCCTTATGATTTTCTTAGTAACTTTTTTTCCCCCTAGATTTCTTTGTGAGAACACAGTATATAATACAGGTAACATACAAAATATGTGTTGATTGACTGTTTATGTTATCAGTAAAGCTTCAGGTCAGTAGTAGGCTATTAGTAGTTAAGTTTTGGGGGAGTGAAAAGTTATACTCAGATTTTTTTACTACCTGGGAGGTCAATACCCTAGCCCCTACATTGTTCAAGGTGTTGGCTGTAACCCTAAGCCTTTTGAGACTCATTACTGTACTACAGCAGCGAAAATAAAATTTAATTTTAAATATTAAGTTTTGACTCTGGCTTAATTCTTAGGAATGCAGGTTCTTGGGAATACATTGCCTGGCTAGAAATTAGCTCTGCTATGTTCTAGCTACATGGAGAGCTGTGTAGCTGTAACTCTGTTTTCTCATCTGTCAAATGGGCATAGTAAAAACCTATCTCATAGGATTACTGTGACCACTGAATCTTGTAATGCATATAAAACATAGTTAAAACATTACCTGGTATCTAATAGTCACTCAATAAATGTTAGATGCATGTCAGAGAAGGAATTGAAAATTTAAGGCACGTTTTTCTTTTGCCTTAATGGAGATTAAAGTCCAGAACTATGTATATAATAAAAGCCTAAGCGACCGTTATGGCAGAACGACCAGAACGACCGGTCGCTATGATGCACACTGACCACCAGGGGGCAGGCACTCAGCGCAGGAGCTGCCCCCTGGTGGTCAGTGCGCTCCCACAGGGGGAGTGCCACTCAGCCAGAAGCTGGGCTCATGGCTGGCGAGAGCAGCGGGAGGCTCTCCCACCCTGCGGCAGCACTAAGGAGCAGTGACCAGGCAGGTGGTAAGGAGCGAGGGGTCCCAGACTGCGAGAGGGCATAGGCCAGGCTGAGGGACACCCCCTCCCGTGCACGAATTTCATGCACTGGGCCTCTAGTCTAATATAATTTTTTTATGATGATGAAATTGTTCTACAGTAGCCACTAGCCACATGTGGCTGTTGAGTACTTGAAATGTGGCTATTACAACATAGTGGGTGATATATTTTAATATACTTTTACTTCTTAATTAAATTGATTGGGGTGACATTGGCCAACATGAACATATAGGTTTCAGGTGTGGGTTTCTATGTGCATATATATTTTTTAAGATTATCTGCTAGCCTGTCCATTACTGTCCTTTCTGCATGCCGTGGCCTGCTCCAGGAATGGTCGGGGAGGAGAGAGGAGAAGAATGCCAGTAACTCCTCTTCTTAGCACAGATATTCCTGTTTTTCCTGGGTGTGGGCAGCTACGTGGGTGCTTCCCTGTTTTCCCAAGCCCACACTTACTGTTCTAGCCTGTCAGGACCTGACTCTGCTATGTGCTGGTTGTCACTCAGTGATATCAGAGACATCAGCCAACCTGTCTAGTCCTCAGGCATTTCCTTTTGCAACCTCTCCGGTTACTATAGAGCGCTAGTTTCTCTTCATAACCCAGGTTGTGCTTCTCCCACTTCCAATGCCTCTGAGCTTGTAGCACACCAAGCGGCATTCTCATCTTTAGCTACCGCTGCTTCCTGCATGCTTTGGGCTGTAGTTTCATCCGGCTATCAAATCCAGCCTGCTGCATTTCTCTTCTTTTTTTAAATAAATAAATGCCATGAGTATCTGTTTTTTTTTTAAATGTATTTTTATTGATTTCAGAGAGGAAGGGAGAGGGGTAGAGAGATAGAAACATCAATGATGAAAGAGAATCATTGATCGGCTGCCTCTTACACGGCCTCTACTGGGGACCGAGCCAGCAACCTGGGCATGTGCCTTGACCGGGAATCCAACAGTGACCTGGTTCATAGGTCAATGCTCAACCATTGAGCCACACTGGCCGGGCTGTATTTATTCTTTTTTTTTTTTTTTTGTCCCATATTCTTAAAAACCTGTTCTGCGCTTGGGAGAAGCAGGCACACGTTTTTGGGGCCACCCATTCGGTCTGTTATTCACTTCGTGATCTTTGTACATGGTTTTATTTTTATTGACCCATTAAGTCTAAAAAGAATCAGTTTCCCTTTGCTTTCTGGTTTTTTATGCAATACTGAGATATGTTATTTTTTATTTCTTCTTTTTTTTTTTTTTAGCACACTGGGACCCAAAAGTGTTTACAGTTTATGATGTATTCCGTTTAAGTCTAATCACATCCGAGCTTATTGTACAGGAGGTCGAGACCCAACGGAACGGAATCAAGGCTGTCTTTGATCTGGAAGGCTGGCATTTTTCTCATGCTTTTCAAATTACCCCATCTGTAGCCAAGAAGATTGCTGCTGTCCTTACAGTAAGTGTATAGTTTAATTCCTTGGGAGAATACCTCCAAACAACAGATTTTAATTTAGTTATGTGTGATACAAAGAGGAGGGATAGAACGTTTATTAGAAAATCAAATCAAATTTTAGAAATGATACATAGAACTCAATAATACTAAGAGGAAATGTTATTAATTCATAAAAGAAAGAATGTTGCAACAAATTGTGAAAATATGTTCAAGATGAGTAACCACCGAATGTATACATTTAAACAATAACGTGTTCACTTTATCTTTCTGTCATTAAAATTATCTTCCTAAATTTAAAAAATTGAATGAAAAAATAATATTTATAGCAACGACACACCAAAATGCCACAGAAGTTTTGGTAGGTATAAATTGATGCAGTTCTTTTAGAAATCAAAAGCTTTTGTAAGTGGCCATGATTTTTGACCTTGTAATCCTACTTTGGGGAACGTAGCCAAGGAATAATCTTAACTATAGCATAGACCTTGTATAAAATGATAATAGTGTAATAGGTACCTGGCTAAGTGTTTCAAATGAATTACCATGTAACGGGTCCATGCAAGCCTATGTCATATGACTATTATTTTTCCCATTTTACAAATTAATTAACTATGTCAGAGAGGTGACAGCAATGCCCAAGCACATGCATTTTGTCCGCAGTGAAGCAAAGGTTCCAGTCCAGGTCAGCTGAATTCAGAGCTGCGCTTACAACCATCACTGCCTCCTACGCATAAAGATGGGATAAAGATGGGCGCCGTGGCATCAATTCTTATAGGATACTATTAGAAACATCTTATTTGTCCAGAAATAGGAAAGTGGTTACTTAAAGTATGGTGCATCCATCTGATGGATTATTGCAACATATTAAAAGCCATGATGTTTACAAAAATTGTATCATATCCATGGGACAAAACAGGATACAAATGATTTAGAGAGCATATTAGCAATTCTGTTTAAAATAAAATTAGGCTTAGGAAGAATCTGGAAGGAAAAGCCACAGATAGATAACACATCTCTAAAAGCTTTGCATAGGGAAGGGAAAAAAAAGAATTTTGTATGAAAGCACCTTGACAGGAAAGGACTCTACAGTAACAATACATCTTTGGGTAGGGAAACTACTGAAGACATTTTTTCTTTCAATTCAACTTTTTGAAATCTTCTGAGTAAGCCAAATTACTCTTATGTTAAAGACTTATACCTGGGTCAAAAGTTTTAAAATGTGTGTTTATTAGACTATTCTTTCAACTTTAATGAAAGTTTTATTTTTTCTCAAACTAAAAATTTTGGGGAAAAGGTTAATTATTGACACTCATTGGTTCCTTAAGAGAACATTTATATGTCATAAGGGGAGAATTTTTTTGTGTCTTATTTATGAAAGATGCAGGTATTTCTATTAGCCTAAGCTACAAAGTAAATACGTTTTAAGGATCTTTTCTTTCTTTTTTTCTTTTTTTTGTTCATCCTTGCCCGAGGATATTTTTCCATTGATTTTTAGGGAGAGTGGAAGAGAGAGGGAATGACAGAGAGAAACATCCATGTGAAAGAAACACATCGATTGGTTGCTTCCTGCACGAGCCTGGGCAGGGAAGGAACCTGCAACCAAGGTACATGCCCTTGACCGGAATCAAACCCTGGACCCTTTGATAGAGTCGGCCTGTACTCTCTCTCCACATTGAATCAAACCGGTTAGGGCAAAGATCTTTTCTTAATCTAGTAACAGTGAACTGTAAAGCAGTCTGTGTTGTGGTGATGAAATAAGAAATTTTAAAAATGAAACAGACATTAGTTGCTGTCATAAGTTTACCAAGTGTTCAAGGAAGGGACTTGTCAATAGAAATATATATTTATTTATGCTTTATTATTAATAGATTTTTTCTTTATTTTCAAAAGGATTCCTTTCCATTAAAAGTTCGTGGTATCCATTTGATAAATGAGCCAATAATTTTTCATGCTGTCTTTTCCATGATTAAACCATTCCTGACTGAAAAAATTAAGGAACGGGTGAGTATAACATATTCAAGTCACTATTCCTCTCTACCAAATGTTCTAATCCTTTTTCATTTAAGAGCTGCTTTATTAAGCACCCACCACCATTAAGCTAATATTTTGAGTATTTATCTAACAGGCCAAATACTCTTATAAATTGACTAGAGGCCTGGTGCACGAATTCATGCACGGGTGGGGTCCCTCGGCCTGGTGGTTGATCGGCCGATGGGGGCCAGCTGGCCAGGGAGGGACTGTGGGAGGGCTCCAGGGCATGTCCGGCCCTCTCGCCCAGTCCTGATTGGTCGGACCCCAGCAGCAAGCTAACCTACTGGTTGGAGCATCTGCCCCTGGTGGCCAGTGTGCATCATGCAACTGGTTGAGTGGTTAACCAAATGGTCGATCGATTGGTCGGACACTTAGTATAATCCACTTTTATTATATAGGATATTTCTTTTTAATTTTGGAAAATCAAGTTAGTGAGTCTATGGGGTAACTGGGCCTCCTGCACATTGCTGGTGGGAGTGCAATATGGTATATTCCCTGTAGAGGGCAGTATATAATAGTTATCAAAATTACAGCCTTTGTGCTTCTGGCAATTTATCCTATCCACACATAAACAAAATTGCAGCAAAAGATTGGAAACCACCAAGTGTTCATCATCAGGGGACTGGTTAAATGAACTGTGAGACATCGACACAATGGAATAGAAGATTTGTAGGATGTAAAGTGAAATAAGCAAAATGCAGAAGAGTGTTTATGGTATGCTACGTTTTTTAAAAAAATATATTTTTATTGATTTCGGAGAGGAAGGGAGGGAGAGAGAGATTGAAACATCAATGATGAGAGAGAATCACTGATTGGCTGCCCCCTGAAAACCCCCCACTGGGGATCAAACCCGAAACCCAGGCATGTGCCCCTGACCAGAACCGAACCTGGGACTCTTCAGTCTGTGAGGCTGTGGTAGGCACAGGGGTGGGTCTCAGACCATCCTCTGCAGCCCTGCTGGGGCCCTCCCGCCGCGGCCCCCAGCCCCCTGTCTGCCAGCATCCCCGCTCCTGCCACTGTGGCTCCCACACATTGATGGCGCCGGCCCCGTTCACACCCACTGACAGCATGGAGCTATTGGGACAGGTGCCAGCAGCAGGTGCAAGTGGGGCCAGCGCCGGCAGCAGGTGCGAGCACTGGGCAGGACCGCGGTGCAAAGGAGCAAAGAATTTTCAGTAACTACCAGAGGCTTGCCCCAATGACAGCGACTGGCGCCACGCCTTGGCCTGGCACCCCCTGCTCACCTCCTCCACAATCCCACCACAGCCAATGTCCACCATGGTCCACACACGCCCCCTGGTGGTCAGTGCACGTCATAGCGACCAGTTGTTTGGATGTTCGGTTGTTCTGGTTGTTCCACTGTTCGGTCTACTTGCATATTAGCCTTTTATTATATAGGATTGTTGCATGTATAGATGAACATTATATGCTTTTGGTCCAAGGTTCCAAATCTTTACTTTAACTTGGGCATTATATGATTGATTTTTATAGTTTAAAATATTTGAAATTTTAAGGCTTTTAACCATCATAACTGTCTCTTAATTTTGTACTAGCCAAGAGTATTCAAATGTATCACATAAATTATTTCCCATATACCTAATTTTATGCTTTCATTTTACATGGAATAATACCAGATAGGACATTTTTACCATCTACAGAATAGTCCCAGGATATTTGATATTTTGTTAAGAATCACTTGTACATGAGGGAATAGAATGTATAAAATACTTTTATTTAGAGTTTTAAAAGTATATTTGTGAAAGAGAAAGATAAATTTTTTATAAATCTTGTCTAGTTATAAGAATGCAAATATAAGAAGACAGTAAGATCAGATTCATAAGCAGCATAATCTAAACAACTAAACTTCTTAGATTCATAAGTAGAGGAATAAAGGATGTAGTATCTATACCAGTACATGGTCTCCTATCCTGGAAGCTATTAGAGTACCTTCTTTTACGGTGTTGATTTTCCACTGGAAATTCATCTAATGTATCAAGAGGCAGAAAACAAACCTAAAACATTTTGGCTATTTCAGATTCATATGCATGGGGCCAATTTCAAACAAAGCTTACTTCAGCATTTCCCAGACATTCTTCCTCTGGAATATGGTGGTGAAGAATTCTCCATGGAGGATGTTTGTCAAGAGTGGACAGATTTTATAATGAAGTCTGAAAATTATCTCAGCAGTATTTCACAGACCATTCAATGAGAAGAACTTGTTTAATGTGAATGCCTTGCTAATTAAAAATACATATGAGTGAGATCCTCCTACCTCATTACATGAACAACAAAAAAATCTTTTTAAGTAATTTGTGCTCTGATTGATCTTTTGTAAAACTCTTCTGACACGAGCATCATGGGTATTTAGGAAACTACTTTTTAAATGCATTTTCTATATCTTGAAAGTAACTATATGTTAATATACTTAAAAGCATAGAAGATATTTCCTGATTTTTACACTTGAAAGTTATCTCTAAAGTAGCTATTCATGTGTGCCTTTAAACAAGTCCTCTGACTACATTGGTTTACAAACAAATGTATAAATAGCCAATGAAAAGAACTATTAGCACAAATGAACTGATGATAAAAATTTATTAGCAGTCATTTTGAGTGGGTGTCAGATTAGACTATAATTCCGATTAAAATCTGAATGTAGTTTTACTATATTTACTTTTCTGTGGGCCAGCAAGATTGTTCATCTCAGGGAAATTCTATTTTAGCATATTTGCACAATAGAAGCTGTTGATGGGAGAGTCTAGATGTCATAAATTATTGTATGTAGCACCTATAGGCCTCCCTGAAATGACTCATGGTGATACAAATTGATAACCAAAAATAATTTTGGAAACATTTCAGGCAGAGTTAATGGCTTCTTAATACTGTGTCTGCATTTTCAAACAAATCAAGAATGTGATTTTGACTTCTGTTTTTGGTTATTCTTATGATCGCATAGATATTTAGAGATATAATAATTAGTTGTTGTATACATAAACTCTGTTTTTAATGGAACAATAACACAATTACAAAAGGAAAAGGGTATGTTTACATTTTAAAAACCACTGTCAAATACATCTGGAACTTTTAAGATTATGCATGAAATAATTTGAGTTTTATTATTATATCAGACTATCATAGCCAACTCCTACAATTCACATTTACTTAAAAAAAATCAGTAGTTAAAATGTGCTGTTTGTACTGTAGCTTATGATAAAGAATATTTCATGTATTGAGAACCATATAAAGGTATGGCTTACAATTGATGACAGTGTTTATAGTGTTTTATAATTTTTAAGTTTTATGTTAAACTGGAAAATTAAAGAACACAGTGTGCAAAATTTGATAGGCATTTGTTCAGACTGGTTGGGTTTCAACATAAATCATCCAATGGTATCTCTGTGAAAGGGTGTGTAAAGGGTGCTTTTCTTTATAAGAAAATTATTCTGATCAGGTGAGCTGATACTTATGATTCTTTGTACATATATCTATGATGAAATTGAGAATAATTGTGACTGTTCTTTAGAGAACGTGTTTTATTTTGGTTTAGCATTGGGAAGCTAATTTTACATGGTAATTTTTATTTAAAAAATCAGATGGTGCCTATTTACAATTGTATAACTCAAAAATAACAATAAAACCATTTAAAAGGAGTAAACAACAGCAACAAGCTCTGGTTTACCCAACTTTTATTCCTAGAAAGAGGTTTACATAACAAAGTTTCTTTTCATTTGCACTTGGGTACTTAAAATACTTCCACCTGGCTTTGTGGAGTGATTGTGTGAGCACATGAATAATGGATGACATTTTAAAATGTCTTTTAAGTGTGATTCATTAGTGATGTTTTTAACAACAAATAAGAGGACATTTCATGATGGGACTTTGAAATTTGTATAAAATGCAGCAATTCACTGAAGAACGCTAGATGAACAATGTGAAATTAGCAGGCAATTTTATAAGGTGGCAAGATAAGTAGCTATCAAACTGTCTATATTACTTAACTGTAATTGAACCAGAAGTGCCTTTTAAAGATGATTTCTAACACATGATTATGGTGTTACTGAACTGCACAATAATTTGTTTTATTATTGTTCAAAAGAAAATAAAGATCTTTCACATAAACTATAGCTGTTTCTTTTTCATTTAAAAATCCAAATATTAGGCATTCTTTTTTCAAAACCTGCCTTTCCTGACAGAAGAGTTTAAGAAAACCTTATCACATCTAGTTGTCCATTACACGAATGCCAGTTTTTTCTTTATAAGTTTTCATGGCCAGTTTCCCCAACTGCTTAATTCAACACCACCTTCTGCTAATGTCTTGCTGTGCTTAAAGGGAACACAAACTAATTTTATAAAACTAAGCCATGCTTACTAAGTTAAAGCTTCTGAGTGAAAAAAGCCAGAGTGTGCCACTTAATGAGATAATTTGATTTTGAAACAATGAACTGTTAGCCTGGATTATGATTTTTAAAAATTTTGATTGATTTAAGAGAGGAAGGGAGAGGGAGAGAGATACAAACACCAATGATGAGAATCATTGATTGGCTGCTTCTTGTACGACCCCCATTGGAGATAGAGCCTGCAACCCAGTATGTGCCCTGATTGGGAATCGAACCATGACCTCCTGGTTGATAGGGCACCAACGTTTTACATATGGTAAAGTCCTAATATACCCCTTACAGCCATACCCTTTTTTTAGCTGCTATATGGTAGAAAGGCTAACCCTATGGTGAAGAATTATCCTTTATCCTTAGTTGCCTCAAATGACAACTGTGTCTTTCATTTGTCAAAGCAGAGCCTATTGATAGCTCCTAGCACACTGGACAGACTCATGTTAACCTAACCGTTTTGTCAGTCCTTACCAGATATGTAACCTAACCAGCTTCTTAAATTACTTAAATTCCTCTCAGATCTCTTCAATACCTATCAGGTCTTTAAAATATATATATATATATATATATATATATATATATATATATATGTATATATATGTATATAT